CCTGGCTTGGACAAGTGGGCCCTTTGTTTCCCAAACATATATAGGAAACAGCTGATCAAGCAAAGAAAACTGGGAAGGGGATCCCTTGCTTTAGGGCGCACCTGCTTTCGTCGGCCAGACTGGCTTGGACAACTGGACGCATTCCGCAAACCCACGGTGAGGATCCTCCGGGTTCCTCCGTGGGGCTGAGGTGCAAACAATCCTAGCTAGGGCTCCAGGCCAGCCACACTTGCGGCCGCGCCCCGTCCCTTAGGGGCGAGAATGAAGTCGGCAGAAGCCCTCTGTCAAGTTGGCCATTCAAAAGCAACCAGCAAAGAATTCGGTAAAGAGCCAAGGTGCACAGAACAGCTAGGATACCTGCCACTAACACGGAAGCTGATAGGGTCCACACTTTGGGTGCGGCCGTTGCAGCCCCGCCTTGAAGGGCACAAAAAAGTTCCAGCAGGGGACATCAGGAAGGAACCACAAAACAACGCAACACCATGTTCTATCTGCAAGTCAACAATCTTTCACGCGCAGCCATTTTGCAAATCCGCCAACCCCTTCCCCTCAAAGGGGGAGGCGCACGGGAAGGGCGATGTCAAGAATCGGCAGCGTCCCTGCCAAAGATGCTGGGGACGCGTAGTGACAATTAGCATCGTCACTGCTAGAGATGCTGGGAGTATCATCCGTACTTGCTTGCGGGTGATGCTCGGGATGCGTAGTGATGGTTATGATCATCATCCATGCTTGAGATAATTGGGGATGCGTAGTGATGGTTATCATCAAGACGATCTTCTCTCTGTACATTTCAAGTGTCCCGGAAGACCCGGCTTGACACGCAAGCGATGCGTACTCGCTGCTGGAGATACTGGATACTGGGAATGCATAGTGATGATTGTCATCATCATGATCATTGCTGCTGGAGATGCTGGGGATGCGTAGTGATGGCAATAGTGATGGTTATCATCATCGCTGCTAGAGATGCCGGGGGTGCGTAGTGATGCTTATTATCCATCCTCATGATCTTCGTCATGACTCGTTCTTGCAACTCTTTTCTATGTACATTTCAAGTGTCCCGTTAGACCCGCTTGACATGCAAGCTGATTATCGTCGCAGCTGGAGATGCTGGGGATGCGTAGTGATGATTATCATCATCCTGACCATCGTTGCTGGAGATGCTGGGGATGATAGTGACGGTTATCGTCAGCGCTGCTAGAGATGCTGCGGATGCGTAGTGATGACTGTCATCCTCGCTTCTAGAGATGCTGGGCATGTCATCATCGCTGGGGATGCGTAGTGATGGTTATCATCAAGGCGATCCCCGGCCAGTTCTCTGGACGACGTGAACTCGTTATGAGGCACAGCTTTCGGGCTGCGGCTTTGGTACAGTCTTCGGGCTGTACCTGCCACAGCCTTCGGGTTTGGGCTGTGGCTGCCACAGCTGTACCAACCCGAAAGTCGAAGGCTGTGGTAGGTACAGCCCGAAGACTGTACCAAAGGCACTGTGGCAGTCACAGCCCAAAGGCTGTGGCAGGTGCAGCCCGAAGACTGAACCAAAGCCACAAGGCTGTGGCAGGTGCAGCCCGAAGGCTGTGCCTCATCAGGAGTTCACGTGGTCCACAGAACTGGCCTTCACGTTCAAGAGCCAAACAGCCTAAGCCGGTCCGGGCAAGCGCCAGAAAAGCCTCCCCCGATAACAAGCACTTGTGAGTCTTTGTTTTCTACAATCGGACCCCCGCCTTTCTGGGCTGCAATTTTCCTCTAGCTGCCTGTCCCCCGCTCAGACGTGCACAGCCCGGCTTGCAACTAGGGTGGGCGTCACTGCGCTTAAATCCGCCGACCCCTGCTCCTGAAAGGGGGAGGCGCACGTGAAGGGTGCTGCGGATGCGTTGCCACGATGATAGTTATCATCACCATTGGAGATGCAGAGGATGCTACGATGATAGGTATCATCATCATCATCTGCAATCTTTTTCATATCATTATCATTATCATCATCATCATCATCATCAGCACCACCATCATCATCATCACCATCATAATCATCATGCGTGGACACGATTATCATGAGGACTGCTGGTGATGCTGATACATAGTCGTCACCATGTCTTTGTATAGTATACATTTCAAGTGTGGCGTTAGAGCCCATTGGTGATGCAAAAGATGCGTGGACATGATTATCATGATGATGACACTGGAGATGCAGAGGGCGCGTAGTCATCATCAGCATCATGACTGTTGGTGATGCAGAGAATGCACGATGATGGTTATCATCGATGATGATAACGGTGACGATGACGAGGATGGGCGACGGCTATGATGACGATCCTTATCTTGTTCATATACGATTCAAAAGTGCCGTTAGAGCCGATTGGAGATGCAGAGGATGCGTAGTCATCGTTACCATCATGACTGTTGGTGATGCAGAGGATGCACGATGATAACCCACGATGATGGTTATCATCGATGATGATAACGGTGATGATGAAATTGGAGATGCAGAGGGTGCGTAGTCATCATTATCATCATGACTGTTGGTGATGCAGAGGATGCACGATGATGGTTATCACCGATGATGAGAACGGTGATGATAACGATGATGGGCGACGGCTGTGATGATAATCCTTATCTTTTTCATATACGATTCAAAAGTGCCGTTAGAGCCGATTGGAGATGCAGAGGATGCGTAGTCATCATTATCATCATGACTGTTGGTGATGCAGAGGATGCACGATGATGGTTATCATCGATGATGATAACGGTGGTGATGAGATTGGAGATGCAGAGGGCGCGTAGTCTGACTATTGGTGGTGCAGAGGGTGCACGATGATGGCTATCATCGATGATGATAACGGTGATGATGACGGCTATGAGGATGCGTAGTCATCGTTATCATCATGACTGTTGGTGATGCAGAGGATGCACGATGATGGTTATCATCAATGAGGATGCACGATGATGGTTATCATCGATGATGATAACGGTGATGATGAGATTGGAGATCATTATCATCATGACTGTTGGTGATGCAGAGGATGCACGATGATGGTTAGCATCGATGATGATAACGGTGATGATGACGATGATGGGCGACGGCTATGATGACGATTCTTATCCTTTCATATACGATTCAAAAGTCCCGTTAGAGCCGATTGGAGATGCAGAGGATGCGTAGTCATCGTTATCATCATGACTGTTGGTGATGCAGAGGATGCACGATGATGGTTATCATCGATGATGATAACGGTGATGATGAGATTGGAATGCAGAGGGTGCGTAGTCATCATTATCATCATGACTGTTGGTGATGCAGAGGATGCACGAGGATGGTTATCATCGATGATGATAACGGTGATGATGACGATGATGGGCGACGGCTATGATGACGACCCTTATCTTTTTCATATACGATTCAAAAGTGCCGTTAGAGCCGATTGGAGATGCAGAGGATGCGCAGTCATCATTATCATCATGATTGTTGGTGATAAAGAGGATGCATAATGATGGCTATCATATGATGGGCCACGGCTATGATGAGGATCCTTATCTATTTCATATACGATTCAAAAGTCCCGTTAGAGCCGATTGGAGATGCAGAGGGTGCGTAGTCAGCATTGTCATCATGACTGTTGGTGATGCAGTGGATGCACGATGATGGTTATCATCGATGATGATAACGGTGATGATGACGATGATGGGCTATCATGATGACTGTTGGTGATGCAGAGGATGCACGATGATGGTTATCATCGACGATGATAACGGTGATGATGAGATTGGAGATGCAGAGGGCGCGTAGTCATCATTATCATCATCACTGTTGGGGATGCAGAGGATGCACGATGATGGTTATCATCGATGATGATAACGGTGATGATGACGATGATGGGCGACGGCTATGATGACGATCCTTATCTTTTTCATATACGATTCAAAAGTCCCGTTAGAGCCGATTGGAGATGCAGAGGATGCGTAGTCATCGTTATCATCATGACTGTTGGTGATGCAGAGGATGCACGAGGATGGTTATCATCGATGAGGATGGACGATGATGGTTATCATCGATGATGAGAACGGTGATGATGACGATGATGGGCGACGGCTATGATGACGATCCTTATCTTTTTCTTGTACGATTCACATTGGAGATGCAGAGGATGCATGGTCATCATTATTATCATGACTGTTGGTGATGCAGAGGGTGCACGATGATGGTTATCATCGATGATGATAACGGTGATGATGAGATTGGAGATGCAGAGGCCGCGTAGTCATCATTATCATCATGACTATTGGTGATGCAGAGGATGCACGATGATGGTTATCATCGATGATGATAACGGTGATGATGACGAGGATGGGCGACGGCTATGATGACGATCGTTATCCTTTTTTATATACGATTCAAAAGTGCCGTTAGAGCCGATTGGAGATGCAGAGGATGCGTAGTCATCGTTATCATGATGACTGTTGGTGGTGCAGAGGATGCACGATGATGGTTATCATCAATGAGGATGCACGATGATGGTTATCATCGATGATGATAACGGTGATGATGAGATTAGAGATGCAGAGGGTGAGTAGTCATCATTATCATCCTGACTGTTGGTGATGCAGAGGATGCACGATGATGGTTATCATCGATGATGAGAACGGTGATGATGACGATGGTGGGCGACGACTATGATGACGGTTCTTATCTTTTTCATATACGATTCAAAAGTGCCGTTAGAGCCGATTGGAGATGCAGAGGGTGCGTAATCATTTTTTTCATCATGACTGTTGGTGATGCAGAGGATGCACGATGATGGTTATCATCGATGAGGATGCACGATGAGGGTTATCATCGATGATGATAACGGTGATGATGAGATTGGAAATTCAGAGGGTGCGTAGTCATCATTATCACTATGACTGTTGGTGATGCAGAGGATGCACGAGGATGGTTATCATGGATGATGATAACGGTGATGCTGACGATGATGGGCGACGGCTATGACGACGATCCTTATCTTTTTCATATACGATTCAAAAGTGCCGTTAGAGTCGATTGGAGATGCAGAGGATGCGCAGTCATCATTATCATCATGACTGTTGGTGATGCAGAGGATGCACGATGATGGTTATCATCGATGATGATAACCGTGATGATGACGCTGATGGGCCACGGCTATGATGAGGGTCCTTATCTTTTTCATATACGATTCAAAAGTCCCGTTAGAGCCGATTGGAGATGCAGAGGGTGCGTAGTCATCGTTATCATCAT